CACGTGGATTCACTTGAGGATCTTCTTCACCTCTTTGCGGTGGGAAATCCAACTATGCTGCAAGCGTTGAATGCAAGACGAGCGGCTCTCGGGATGCCGCAACATCCAATGACACAAGATGACACCGGCCATGACTACTTCGACCCAAACAACGTTTAGTAGTTTTTTTTATTTTGTTTCGTTTTTGTAATATAAATCTAAACAATTATAAAAATTAAATATTTAGTTTTATAATTTGTATATTTATATTTCAAATATTTATCAATATAATATTTCATATAAATAAATATTATATTTTTATCAAAGTAAAGTTGATGTAAAGTATTACAAGGAATTTACATCGATGGAAATGGTAATTTGTCATAAACTGTTACATCGAATTTACATCGACGAAACGTAAATTCCTCGTAACATTTACATATGCGTAACCACTCTTTTACGACGACATGTAACGATGACTTTACGACGATAAGTAACGATGACTTTACGACGAGGGGTAACGAGATCTTTACATTGAAATGTAACGGGTTGTTTACGACGAACCTCTTACTTCTTTTTTATGACGACATGTGTTTGTCATAAATTAACAAGGAAATTACGACGAATATCTCATTACGACGGACGTTTAACAACGAAACGTTGTTCTTTGTAAATTCGTCGTAACACCTCTATTACAAGGACATGAATATATCCCTCGTAAAAAAAATATTATCTTGTAGTGTTAGTATCTTAAATATACGACATTTTTATTGTGTATCGTAAATTTATGGAAAATTCAAATCAAATATCCCAAATGAAATACTTTGGACTTAATTTTTCATAATTAAGGGATACATATTTTTTGAGACACTTAGATCATTGGAACTTGATTCTCCGGCTCTATGGTATCAATTTCACTGATTCTTATATTTATGTATCTTTATAACAATGGATATGCACTTTAGGTGACTTGATTAGATTATATTCAAGCCAATACACACATCTCTCATTGACAACCAAAGATGTTCTCTGGAAAACTTCCTAAAGAAAATAGGTGTTGAAAATTAATTTTTAGACTGCCATCAACAAAAGAATAACGATGTCAAGGTTTCTAGTTTTTACGAATATTTACTAATTATTTTGTATTTCATAACATTTCATATTCCAAACACATCATGGATTAACTATTTTGTATGTTTATTTGATGTTTTAGAAAATCATGGGAGAATCTCAAGAATCAATACTCAAGTATTTTAATAGAAAGTTCTTGGAATAACTGGTGCAAGTCTAACATGTAGCCTTTATTCACTTCCAGACGGTTGGGGATTTTAAATCAAACGTTCACTGAAAAATGTTAGATTTTTTGCCAAGCGATATTAGAAACTCAAAATAACAATAACAATTTGATTGCGTGGATCTTGTGCAATTTAAAAGTTGAAATGATATATATGAGATTTCTTTTCCATAAACTTAACCATTTGTGTGTGTGAGAGAGAAAGAGTATCTCTTCTTAACCAAATGTAAAAATATATACAAACTAAAAAGTATTTCATTCTGATCCAAGTAGATTACGTTTTTGTTTTTTTATGCTACAAACTTCTTCCTAGATATCAGCTGAGATTTTTGGTAAAGGTGCTCGAGTTAAGAGAACTTTGTAAGTGAACCACATCTCCAGATTCATGTTATCACAATCTGTGTTGCATCATTAAAGACTGGAAATTTGTAGCTTCCATCATGATACAATGGCTTTATATAGCCTTAAAGATAACAAAAATTACTCTACTTACATAAATTTAGGAAACATAATACTCCACTAAACTAGAACTTCTAACAGACTCGTGATTAACTACTCTACTCTTCACGTGATGTAACTTCGTCTTCCCATGTTATTTACATGATGTAATTTCCATTTTCTGATATGATGTAGCTTTGGCTTCCAAGACGTGATGCAACTTCTCCTTTATTCTCGGACTCCACTTGCTCTAACAAACACTCCTTAAGCTAAGCCTCATATATTGAGCTTAACTTATCTTTGATTGAACGTACTCTAAGCTTGCTTCTTAGTTTTCCAAATGCTTCACGCTTCAATGGGTTTTTGAAAATGTATAATGCTTGCTCCTCTGATACACAATGCTTCAACTGAATGATCCCATCATTAACCAAGTCTCTTAGAAAGTGAAAGTAAATATGTTATGTGCTTACATTTTCCATGAAACAATGGCTTCTTCGATAGCTTGATAGTCGATGTGTTGTCACATAAAATTGTTGTGCTTCCTTGAACTTTCCAACCTAACTCGTCAAGAATTCACATGAACCAAATTGCTTGACAACATTGGGCATTCATTCTGAAAATGTTCACGTCGATGGCACTTATGGTACTTGATGGTGCTTTTGTCAAATGATGTCCTTCTTCCCCTTCAGCTTGGCCTTCTTCTTCTTTAATTTATATTCATGAACTGCTGAATTGCTCTGCAACTCAACGATTGAAATTGAGTCAACATATACCACCACGTACATGAACATCTTTGTGAGAATTATGAGTATATTCTCCACCATCTTAGTTTCTGCCATCTTCTCCCCATTACTTCTCATATGGTCTGTGATGGTCATGATACGAGAAAAGTACTCATTTATACTCTTGGATTACTTCATCTCCAACACTTCGAAGTCTCTCCTAAGCTTCTTCATAGCAACTTCTCCCCACTAGCATTGCCTCCAAGTTTCCACTTCATAGACTCCCGGATGATCGTGGAGGTTCTTCGGTGAAATATTTGTTCAAACATTATTCTATCGATGGCTCTTGGTAGAGATAATGTTTGACATTGTGATCATTGGTCTTTGTGTTGTCAAACTGTCGTCTCCGCTCATAGGACACCATGCTGATTGATGGTTCTTCAAAACAATCTCAATCAAGCTTTACAATCCTTTTTTCTGAAAATTTATCCATGACTTCACTCCAATGATCTCAATGGTCATCAAAGTGAGGCAACTTCATTTTCTCTTCGTCCATTCTTTTACTCACTCTCGAAGTTGTGGTTTCTGATTTTCAGTCTTTAATGCTAGTTCTGATATCAATTTGAAAACACAGACTAATGTTGCAGCAAGAAAGACCAAAAAATTGTAGCTTCCGTTAAGATACGATGGATTTATATAGCCTTGAAGATAACAAGAACGTAGTCTACTTGCATAAATCTAGGAAACATTATACTCTACTAAACTAGGACTTCTAAGAGACATGTGATGTACCTAATTCACGTGATGTAACTTGATGTAACTTCTGATTCCATTGTGATGTAACTTCGGCTTCCCCACGTAATCGACATGATGTAATTTCCACTTCCCTAGACATGATGTAGCTTCGTATTCCCAAGACGTAATGCAACTTCCCCTTCGTCTTGGACTCCACTTGCTCCAACAATTTGTTCGATTATTATCGAATGTAATGTTTTTGTCTATAATTTTAATGAGCTGAGGTTTTGGCATTACTTGCTTTCCTTTCTGATGTCTGTTTATCTCTATCCAAACAAGATAAACTGTAGCCTAGAAACTATGTATGAAAACAAAATCTTTTATGCAACAGAATCCGGGATTGTGGACAAGATTAGCAAAACTATCCTAATCAGGAGGAGAAAACTTCTTCTCTAACAGCTTCCAAATCAGTATACTCTATAAGTTCCTCTATAAATGCATGTGACTTCTAGATTATCACACAAGGTGCAGTAAATACTTGTCCTCCAGCCCATAGCATAATAAGATCACCAATCCATAACCTGTTTTGAACGGCTAATCATGTGAAAAAGCCTATTTTAGTGTTGCGTAAAGAAACATACTCCACTATACCATTCCAAATTTGGCTTAGCTTCACCAATTAGTCGCCATATTGCTCTTTATTGGAATCTACTTGGGTGGACGCAGGTGTGGCAGTTGCCCCACAGTAATTTTTGTATTTTCTTCATTCAATACTATTAAAACCAGAAACACATTTTATCTACGTGCAAGTAATCTATTTTATACTATTACATTTATTTAATTTCTTTTGTATTCTCCTATAACTAATTTAATTATCATTTAAATGTACATTATGCTTAACCAAATATTTTAATATTTTAAAAATAAGATATCTAAAAATATATCTTTTAGTTTCTTTTCCAAAGATTAGATTTTAATAATATCTTTTATTTAAAATTTAAATATACATATACATATCTTTTTTAATATTTATGTTTAAATAGTAAAATTCATAATTAGTATTAACTATAGTTCAAAACGAATACTAATTCATTTTTCATTTATATAATAAGAAATGAATTTATACACATAATTTATATTCATAATTATATTACCATACCAAGTAATAAATATAAAGTAACTTAATAAGTTATATTCAGATTTTAGCGGTTTTTTGCGGGTTTATAGAATGTTTAAATGATGATTTTTTATTTATTTTAAAACCAAACCGGACTACATATCAAATCCCCAGTTTTATTGGTTTAACTACGGGTCCGGATCGAGTTTCAGTACACTAAATATAACGCTTCATGTTTAACATTTAAATGTAAATACATAATCAGAAATACAAATTGATATCATATAAATTTGGTTTGTTTTGGAAATAATCATGCGCTTTGAACCGTAGCCGAGTCCCAGGTCTTAGCGGGATTTGTGCGGGTTTTATATAATTTAAAACAAACAAACTGGGTTACATATAAAGTCATCGGTTTTTTCGGTTTAACCACGGATCCGGATCGTATTTCAGAACACTAAATATAACGCTTCATGTGTAACATTTAAATGTAGATAGATAATCAAAGATACAAATTTATATCATATAAATTTGATTTGTTTCGAAAATAATCATGTATTTGAACCGGTAATCAGTCCTAGGTTTTAGCAGTTTTTTTGTGGGTTTTATAGAATTTTAAATAATGAGCTTTTAAAAAAAATTCAAACTGGTTACATATAACATTATCGGTTCTGTCGGTTTAACCACGAATCTGGATCGTGTTTCAAAACATTGAATATAATGGTTATGTGTAACATTTAAATGTAAATACATATTCAAATATGCAAATTTATATAATACTTCAAAGCGCGGATCAAAATCTAGTAATTTACTTATAATTTATCTAAATGTCCCTAATGTAAATATTCTTTATATTGTCTCACATACTCATTAAGGTGCTGGATCCGCCTGTGCTTCAACTTGATCAAGTGCTCAAAAATATGTATGTTATTTCCTTCTTATTTGAGCAGTTTAACCCTGTAGTTCCTTCTTCTGCGCATGCTTACACCCAGTGCACTAGAAGAGATCCCCAAATCAATATTCTTTTGCATCCATGATATCATATATTCACGGATTCATCCCAAAGAAAACCAGTTACCAAACCAAAACAATGTGTCATTTCTGAATTCAAGGGGTCTTTTTACGTATCAACTATCCAAATACTTCTTAATGTGTTTTTTAAAAAAAGTGAAAACATGCAGAATCCATACAAATAGTAGATGTTGGTTTGCGTCACTTCATAACATATCCAAAACCAAGAACTCATCTGCACGAGTGTATAATCTTTTCTTTGCAAAAAGTTAAAAACCAATTAGCTCAAGTTCGAAAATAAGATCACCTCCGTAGTTACTCGGGAATATTAAAGTGTCTCAAATACCTCAGAAAACAGTTTACATCCAAAACATGGAAACCAAACATACGACCAAACTCACGAAATAGATGTTTTGGTTTTCACATCTTCCACAGATCACTAGAACCTAGAGCTTCACAGACCTTTTAAAGAATCTCCTGCTTTGCCAGACCTAGCATCTGTCCAAGCTTTGGCTATTGTCTTCTTCATCTCTTCATCTCCTCCCTCATACATGTTCTGCAGAAATATTTCACCACAAAAAAAAAAACATAAGCAAAAACCAATGAGAAGTATCTCAACCTCACTAATTATGAGTGATGCTCACCTTCATTAAGTCCATGATTCCAGCCATTGGGTCTTTTTCTTTCTCAAGACTAGGCTTAATCTGAGCAAAAACAATGATCATTACCATTAGTTCCACCAAACCAAACCAAAAAAAAAAGCTCCACCATATCATCTTCTTGAAGCTAAAAGAGGTTTCTTTACCTTGTCTTCTTTGTAGTGAATGTCCATCCAGTTTCCTCTAGAAGACTTGAACATCGTGACAACGATCCTCTTAGGCTTAACAAGCACTTTACACTTCTCAGGGACAATCTCTTTGTGCAACTTGGGGATTGCACATCGGTAGTTCTTCCCTTGAACATCATGGATTTTGATGTCCAAAGACATTGGCTTGAACTCAGCTTCAACCTTGTTTTCATCAACACCTTCCAAAGATATGTACACCTATAACAAGACAGCAAAAACAAAACTTTACTACATAAACACTCATTAAATCGATTCCAAGATCATTCCAAGTCCAACTAGTTTTACCTTGACTTTTTCATTGTCTTGATCCCAGCTGAATGTTCCGAGAGTTACATAGTTCACTGCTGGAGAAACCGGCTTAACCGGTACGGGAACAGCCGGTTCGACCTTTGGTTTAGCACTTGACACGCTCATCTATTAAAAAAAAAAACAGATTAACCTTTCACACTAAATCAAAAGAGATAAGCTTTGTGATTGATTATCTCGACAATAAAACAGATTAACCCTAAGCATCGAAGAAACATATGACTACGGCGAAAAAAGGGTTTATTAATACCTTTTCCAAGTTGCAAATCTCGGAGCTGAGGAGATTTAGAACACGAGGTCTCTTGGCGATGTTCTGGAGTTGCCTGAGTTCTTCCAAATCTAGCAACACTTCTTCCGCCATTGATTGATCTCTTTGAGCAGCCAAAACGAAACGTTAGAATCCGCACACCCGAGATTGAATAGATATACACACAAATGCGAAGAAGGGGACGAGAGTCTTGTGGAACGTACTAGAAGGTCTTATTATTATTCTTTCGCAATTTTCAAGCATTTAAACTTGTTGGGCTTTGTTCTTTTCATACGTAATCAAGCCCATTTCTACAAGAATTAGATTTTTGTATAATTATATATTTGTTATAAGGCTTGTTAAGAAACTCGCTAGGCGCTACGCGTGCGGTGCACGTGCCCCTAGCAATTTATCGTGAAATCGGAAAAAATTCGGGTAATAATCGCGGATTTTTTTTAGTTATATCAAACTTATAAATACATTAATATATTTCGTAGGCTTGACTAAAGTAATTTTGTAGTTTAGCGGTTCGTATGAGGGTGTAAGACGTTGGTGTTGCGGGTTCGAAGGCCAATGCCTCCATATTACGTGGTTTTTTTTTGTTTTTTTCTTAATGAAGGGCAAGAAAGTCATTTTCTTGTCATCTTCTTCTGCGATATACATCTGTAACCCTAATCTTTTCGCGGCCACCATGACTTTTTTTCAACATAATCCATGACTTTTTAAGCGATTTTTTTTGTTTAAAAAATAATTCATCGTTAGTAATGATACAATATGATAGATTTAGGGTGAAAGTGTCAAATTTGAACGATTTAACCCAATCAAAAAATTTCACCGACTTTTTGACCGCACAGAGTGAAATCGCCGCGGAGCACCTCCGGATAGCGTTTCAGCGCCGTGTAATCGGGCTCTCCGGCCACGTTTTAGAACAAGGGTTATAAGTAGACACTATTATAGTAAGTTTGACCAAAAAAAGACAGTATTATATTATTATTTTATATTAATTATAATTTTTTTCTATAAATATTTTTTTCAAAAATATGTTGCTATTTATTTCTCATCTCACTATTATATATTATATATGTGTCATTATATAATTAATCATATTTTATGTACTTTCATATAATAATCATATAATTACTAATATATTATACATACTATCATATAAATAATCATATATATTCTATTTTAAAAACTTTATGTGTAATATAAAATCATAATTTAAGTTAGTTTGAAACTAGGCTCTCTATTGTATTTTTTCTTATATATATCAAAAAATATATATATAATGGTTATTAGAAAATATTTTAGTAAAAATTAATTTTTGAATCAATGTTTTATATAGATCAATTTTAACTTAATATTATTATTTTAAATATGTATATAAAATTTAAATTTTGTTTTATGATTATTTTAGATAATTTGGGAAATTTTTATATATTTTAAAGCTGGCACATATATATAGGTTCTCACAACATTATGGATGTCCAGTTTTTCTTAATAACATAAGCCTATTACTTCTTCTTTTTTTAATGTTTCTAAACAACATTATATTCTTTATTTTATTACTATCTCTATTTACAAACAATTCCTAAAGGTACTTCTAACTTTAATTAGATAGATACATGTTTTTATAATTTCTATCGGCTGATCCGATCGGTCTCATAGAATAACTCACTTAGTACTACAATATGTTTTTTTCTGTAGTTTTAAAACAATGTATAAATATTTTATCAATTTATCAAAAGTTCCTTAATCAGTGACTCTTCCTATAATTTTAACCTTTTAAAAACTTATAAATGAGAATTTTTTTGAGAGAATTATTATAGAAGGTAAGAACATAATTAAAAACTAATAATTCCTTCCAACTAAAAAATACCATGTATATTTCAATAGGCATGTTAATTAAGGTTGAAGTCCGCATCATTAACATGCTAATCCCTATAAATTAGCAGGTTTAGGCTAAATTATATAAGCCCAAAAGGTCGTATTTTTTGGACTTAGTACATTTAGGTTTTAACTATTTTAGGCTTTAGGCTAGAACTGACTCGAAAATCCAAAATTTCTATTTTGATTTATTTAATTTTTAGTATTGGTTCTCATTTCTTATATAAAATAGAATTGATGATCATGTTTTAAAAAATATAGAATTAACCATATTTTAAACAAATATATAATTCTGAATGCTACAGTAGCATCCAAGTTTAGTTTTAGCATTGATGTCCATGTGTAAACAAATTTAAAAGTCATCTGCTACTAAGATATGTTCATGCAGTGATTTGTAGACATACTTAGTTGAAATAATTTATGTTTCACAATCCAATAATATGTTGATATCCATTCAATTTTATTTTATATTGATATATGTCAAAATTTGATATTTTTACATTTTATATGTAACATTTGATGAAGATGAATATGTGGAATTACTGATGAACATCATAATCTTAATCCTATATAGTTTCTATTGCTTACAATTATAAGAATTTTGTTTTATCTCTATTCAATAATAATGTTTATTTGATTTATTTGTTTTATTTAGTTTATTAGGTAAGCCATTTATTTTAGTTTTGGATTTTATAAACATATAGATGATTGTTTATTTTTTTGATGAAATTTCAAATTTATTGATAAGAATATGGACCATATAAAAAAGAATAAAAAATTCTTAAGAACTACTCAAACTTGTTCTTGCCAAATATTAAACGAGTGCTTAAGTGTCAAACACTTCGAACCAGCAACGCAAGAAGCCCTCCAACTTTTCAGGATTCTTATATCTCAATGATAAAACTTTATTTGTGATTGCTCTATCAATCACACGTATGAGTTAGCAGTCCCTTGAATGCCTCTCTGATGTGTGCGTCCATTTCTCTCCCTCTAAATATGATAAACTGTAGCCTGAAAAACCATTCTTATGAGTACCATGTCCAACCTGGTTGATGATCTTGCTTGAAGAAAGTTCAAAGTATTTTGCCATTCCGGGTTAATCCTAGATCCCATGAGCCCTCCTGCCACTCTATCCCATACCGTGTACAATTAAAGACACGGGAAAAATAAATGGTCCTTCATTTCATCCTTCTCACCACATAAGATACACTTTTACCGTATACCCCAAAGCCTCATTTTATCCTTTGTCGAGAGTCTATTCTTGACAGCCAACCAAGATATGAAAGAACACCGAGGAACACTTTGTGAAAACCATATGCTACTACTCCAAATCACTTCTTCCCGCCAACCTGTGACCTGATCCCATGTGTGAGTAGCTGAGAAGTAAGTTTTATAATTATCTGGAGAGTTTCTCCAGAGAATGACATGATTACCATGATGTGCATTTGGAGCCTGAAGTGTATCTTGGCATGAAGATCCTGAAAATGACGGCTTCTATGTCCTCTAACCGACCATTGATCTTACACAACAGCTTCACATACCCGTGCATTCCTTGCTACACCAAGATAGCGTGTGCTTGAGTCTCCTATAATGTCGATAAGTTTACCCATTTTCAGCCAAACATCGAACCAGAAAAAAGTGTTTTACCTATTTCGAATCTGAACACTGAAGAAAGGGTATGTTATGTGTCTTAGCTTAAAAGCTTTCACCAAATCCAAGACCCATTAGCATCTTCTTTGGTATCCCAAAACGAGCTATTTCTCAAGAGATAATGTTGAATCCAAGAGACCCAGAAAGAACTGTCAAAGTAAACAGCCTCCAAATCAGAGAGAGAGCAAAAACTCTAGTAGCCTCACAAAGTCTACATAACCCAAATCCACCTTCAGTCTTCGGATTGCACAAGTCCTCCCACTTAACCTTCGCTTTATAAGTCTGATGTGGAGATCCAGACCATAAGAAAGCGCTGCAGAGACTTTCAATAGTGTCAAGACACTCCATGGGTAGAATAAATGCTGAGCTCCATAAATTAACAATGTTATACACCATAAATTTAATCAACTGTAGACGCCCGGGGAAAGATAAACTCTTGTTGGTCCAAACTAGCATTCTGTTTCAAATCTTATCTATAAGAGGCTTATAGTATTGCGTTGTTAGAGCTTTTGTCGTCAAAGGAAGCCCCATATATCGTATTGGCAGGTTACCAACATTGATTCCTAACCTATCAGCCTTGTTAAAAAGATTAGATAAATCACCACCAGATGCGTATAATGAAGACTTCGCTGCGTTGATATGCAAACCAGACATCTCTGCGAACGTTTCCATAGTGTCTATTACCCCACGTAAAGACTCCAAAATTCCATCTATGAAAACTAGTATGTCATCTGCAAAGTTCAGATGGGTTAAATGCACTACTCTGCACTGAGGGTGATACCCATATCTACCTTCCGACGTTGCTTGATTTAACAATTTTGAGAGGACATTGTTAAGGATCACATATAGATAGGATGAAAAAGATCACCCTTGGCGAATTCTTCTAACGCTAGAAAAGAAACCTTCCAGACAACCATTGACTGAGACTAAAAAAAGAAGTTGTCGAAATAAAAGTCTTGATCTGTAGAATGAATTGTTCAGGAAGCCTCATTGCCTTGAGAACCGTAGTGATGAAGGACCACTTGGCCGTATCAAACGCTTTAGAGATGTCAAACTTAATGGTGCACATGTATATATTTGTCTTCTTGTGATAACCATTGATAAGCTCAGAAGCCAGCAAGGCATTCTCCGAGAAAGGCCTCTCTTTGATGAAAGCACGCTGATTTGCTTATATAGCTTCATGCAAATAGACTTTAATCAGTTAGCTAGAATTTTAAAGATAACCTTGTATTGCAGATTGCAACAAGCAATAGGCCGATAATCCTTCATTGTCTGGGCATTTTCTATTTTTGGAATGAGGGAGAGGACAATTGCATTTATACCAATTGGAAGAAACCCAAACAAGAAAAAAGATGTTATCACTGTAGTAAATCTTTTCCAATCTCCGGCCAAGCTGCGACCTAGAACTCCTTTGTGTATCCACCTGGTCCTGAAACCTAGTCCTTGAGAAGAGAATGTAAAGAAGATTAAATCTCTTCTGCTGAAACGGGAGCCGCAAGATGAGTGACAGAAGAGATTGGACACATATAGCTGAGCAGACCTTGTATAGCATAAAGGTTCACTTCATCATCTTCATGATTCTGCGATTGCAGAAATTTTTGGAAATGCATAACAACTTCTTTTTTAAT